GACTTACTACTTCCTGCAAGCCTGTTAGAACCAAGGGCCAGCCGCACAAAAAAGGGCTGCATTTATGCCTGCCTGATAGAATCTGCACTTAAGATTTATGCTTCAGATTAAACATTCTTTATAGTTTCTGCGAGATAAGGTAATAAGTTACAGCATTTCACACATCTTATGAAGAAAAGAGCTTGAGAAGTCAGGAGATCAAGAAGTTTTCTTTAAACACGACACGAGAGGGATTAACTAGGTAAATTTTTAATTTACTTTCCAATTAAAGATCTAAAATGAATTATAGTTTAAATTACTTCACAAGCTCCTAAACTAACTTATGCAATCGGCTAGCTCTGTCCAAATTGATAGCAAATAAAACTTAACCAAATAGGCAAACTGAACGGCTGCTCTAGAGTCCAAAATCAAATCCCCAACAAACTTGCCCAGCCACCTGCTATGCTTTTGTATCCCCAAAATTTGTCCAACACACACACACACACACACATGCTGCGTAACAGGCCAATTGCATCAGCTTAAAAATAAAGTTAAAAACTAAAGTAAACATTTGTCTGCTTCTTTTGAGCCAGACATAGGCATTTGGCCAAGAGAGGGTGGGGTAAGTTTGGCTAAACAATTGCCAACGCGCTTTTCGGCGTTAATCGTTTTGCATATGCGAAAGACAAAGAAAATTCCGAAAATAATACCCAGAGGCGTGCTGCCATCACAAAAATAAAACAAAAAACTAAATTAATATGCATTGTTGCAGCAGCACGTTGCCTTGCATATTTGGACTTTCACTTTTGTTTTCTTTCTTCACTCCTCCCCCCCAAAAAAAAGAGACAAACGAAAAGGTAAACATGATTTCAAAATGAACTTAAGACGCACACTCGATCCACGTCGACATTTCAATCAATTACAAATGGTTAACACAAATAAAAACATAATGTCAGTCTTGATTGGGGGCTTCCGAGTTCGGTGGGCGATTGGTGATCATCGATTAAAGTGGGTAACTGCGTTAATTGCTGGTAGCTTCCCCGCTTTGGACTTTCCCCTTTTCCAGAAATCAAAGTTACGCATTTCCAATTGCGCAATCGTCACAATCTTTTTTCCCATTTAATTGTTGTTATTTTTGCTGCTGTCTGGAGATTTTCATGGCTTGCGAAAGTAAACATATTTTACAGTCCGTTTTATTTTGATTTTTTTTCTTTTTGGCTTCCCAGACAATGCGTGCAGTTATTACTAGTTTCGGTTCATTAATCATGTGTCGGGGAAATACTTATGTGCACCTGCTGGGCATAAGAAATGAAAAAATGGGCCATAGAGACACCGATGGGAAAATTGCCAAGGGCTGCGAGCGGAGATTACGAATTAAGTTTATGATTAAAGGGCGAAATTATACATGTCATAAGAAGATTTTCTCTTTGGTTGTGCTTTTGGTTTTCCTATCAAACATAGGTTTTAATCACAGACTTTTCATGACAACTAAGCCTTGCCCTGGGAGTTTAATTAAGCCAGAAGTAGTTGCACTTTCTAATATGCAAAGACTTGTCAAACAATCAATCAATCTCTTGTGATTTCAAGGAGCCAAATGCATCTCAATAGTTAGTTCAATGATTTTAAGTCCCTGATTAAAAGTACACATAAATGTATATTTTATGACTTAGCATTTAAGCTTTAAGCTGTTATTAGCTTTTCAAATTAGTTATACTGTCTTAAAATTAACAAAAACCTTTTTAAGAAACACCACAAAAATGCAACCTCAAAGCGACTTAAGCATATAAATCTCTTTTTTACAGTGCAACACGATTAGTTTTCTCCCTTTCCTTTGCTCGGCTTTAACCAAGCTGGCATAAAGTTTTTAATTAACTTAAATCAATGACAGTTTACATTGACGATAGAAACGTTTGCGAAATGGTCAACTAGGGACTCCGGGACTGGGATTGACTATTGTTGCATTGAGACAATGACAAAGTAACTAGGCATCGGAATCGATCGGAGTGGAAAGCCGCAGATATAGCCAGGGCTATTAAGTATCCCAGGCCCAAGGCGGATGGTCGGTTGGATACACCAGATGGCCGGACAATTGCCGCAAATCACAGTGGGGACAGCCATTCGAAATATGTGCACTTTGTTGACTGTCGGTTTCCGCTGAAAGTGCAGGCCAATTTAAGCCAAATAGGCGGAGATCTAATGCTGGAATGAAGTGTTGCCGGGTGAAGAATTGTTGGTTTGATTTTAATTGCCACCACTGACCATCGACCACCGACCAGAAGCAATGAACTTGCCACCAAGCCGGTGGTAATTCGAGCCACAAACAGAAAGACCAATGTAATACAAGATGGTTGTGGGAAATTCCACCGGACCAGCGAAGAACACCATTCGAGGGTGGCTAATATATGGTTAGATATATATTGTGTGAAAGTCCAAGGCGGCTGGCGAATGGATCAAGTTCGAATTACCATAAAATATGCAGAGACAACGCATGCGCAACACGTAGTAACTCGTAACACGATGCAGATACATTATTTTAGTGGACCTGCAGATATACAGATACAGATACTGTCCAGTTTGGCCCTGTTCAGGGTGGCTAGTTCACCTTGGAATGGCACTTAACATCGAGTTTTTGGGGGCTAAATATATAGATCGAGGGGTGTATAAATGAAGGGTTTTCAGCTCTACTCTATATGATAAATCCATTGGCCATGCTCACCAAGGCGTCGTTCACCACAACCAAACTGCCTGCTCTTATTCCACTAATTGAGTTACAAATGTATGTTGCACATTTCGGCAAGTCAGCTTCATGGTTCTGCGACTGCTGCGGATATTTGCCAATTGAGTTATTGCCTTTTTGGCTGTGCATTAGCGTGCGCTCACCTGTGATTTCCCAATGGAAAGTTTGGCCAACTCTTTAGACCAAGTTCTGTCGGCCAAAACGGGTTGGCTTGGCAAACACGAGGTCTTAACGGTTTTTCAAAATGCTGCGAATCGTTTTGTCACGCCTTCGATTTGAGCCAAAAAAGAAAACCCTCAAATGTTTGCCCAAGTTACGGGCTAGCCACCCAGTTTGCAGGTGCAGTTTGCACCTTTACAAGTCTGCCTCGGTGATGTACAAACATTGGTTTTTTAGCTCATCACCTGCTTAAGCTAGTTTCAGTGATTTGTTACCCTTTTGGATTTCCATTTATCCACCAGATAGGAAGCTCGGAGGAGCCACTTTTAAGCCAATTTCTCAATACCCATTGGCAGGTGCTTTGCCAAATCCTCAGGCTATGGAGATGTAAGTTAGGTGATAGGATGCTAAATGCTACTAGACCTTCAAGGAGTTACTAGAGAGGAAAGAGTAGTTTGTAGTTTTGCAGGAATCTTTTAAGGAAATAAATATGTTTCTTATAAAATGAATGAAAACCATTGAAAACCCATTTTGATTGCTAGTTCTTTGTAAATTTAAATTGATATTTGCCTTCTAGTCTCTTTTTACTACTTTTTAATAAATTCCCCTGGAGTTTTGTAGTCCAACAGGCTTTAAATATTTAATTAGCTTGCATTTCAAAATAACTTTTAAATATTTATGAAACTGTCAACAATGCTTGCGGCTACTTTTATCTGAAAAATCAAGGGACTTCGTGAAATATTCGTTGTTTAATGTCAAATTGAAATACATTTTTAAAATACTTCGTTTTTTAATAAATTTATAACCTATTGGAGCAATTAATTTCGCACACTCAATTTCAGGTTTCGATTTAATTCAATTTATTAGCGAAATAAATTGATTCTTTTTTTATGCCACTCTTAAATGTTACTAATTCAGGCTGTTGTCAGACTGATTAAAAGATTAATATCAAACATGAATTTACAGTCACGTAATGTTTATATAATTTTCCACATTTCCGTGCAGAGATAAACCTTTTTTTAATTGGTAAATTTGTCGAGAAAATAAACTAACGAAATAAAAGTGAGTCTGCAAGTTCTCGAAAGTAATCATAATCAGCCTCGTAGCCCCATTCCCCCATTTACCATGATATCAAATACAAGATTTGTGGGATTTTTCTCTCTCTCTTTTGGCTACCTAGTATGCCCGTCTCGTTCTTTGCTCATTTCCAATAAGCAATTCTACTTGCTTTATTGGTTTTCCTGACAAACTTGTTCGTAACTCTCGCGGAGCGTACAGGTTGCTTAAGAGGGGAGAGAAGAACTCGGAGTCAGCATGTTTTCAAGATCAAAAAGCGAATGGCGGTGGAGCTGAAGAAATTGCACAAAAATTTACACAGTCCACAACAAAAGGAACAAGAGAGACAGAGGGAACTGCAAAAAGGGAACCTTTCACTGCAGATACACTTTAACAAATATTTGATATACCAAAATTTTTCGAAAATGTTAAAAGAAAATATAATTAATACTATCCTATTAAATTAGCTCCTCTTTAGTATTTTTAGAAAGTCGTATTTATTATTTAACAATTCAGAAAATTCTTCAAGGTAGGGCATTAAAACTGTCAAGTTGGCACTCCAAAAACAGGATCCCATTCAGAACTGTAAATACCAACACTACTATTTCTCTCCCTGTCTGCCGATTGGAGAGGCAAGGTAGAATTAGTGATAAACATAAAGAAAGGCCGCGCAATTGAAAAGTGGCACAGATGCCAGGGCAGCGGCCCCAAAAGGCAACGGTATCGTATAGAGCAGGAGCGCAAAAGGGAATCCAGGAGCGGAGTGGGGGCAGCATCAGCAATCAAAAAAAAAAAGGGGGGCGGGTGGTAAGTTTGAGCAGGAGCTGACGAAGGAGCGACGCAAAAAGTGTGTGTGTGCGTATCAACAAAGCGGATGGTCGAGGGCTGGGCCCGGATGATGATGGGATGCCCAAGGGCGTGGGGTGGGTGGTGTTTTTTGGTAGGTGGCTGGCTGCCTTTTCTCTGGGAACAGTAGCACTCGCTCTTTCTTATATCGTAAATGTTGTTTCTTTTTTTTTATATATTTTGAGATATATGCGCACTGCCAGAAACTAAGGCAAAAACTTACCTGTAAAATATGAGCACGCTACGTAGCGAGCTATTTAATAATTTACGGTTCGTCGAAGATTTACGACCCACTGGATATATCAAACTGCAATGATTCCGGAATATTTGAATATTTGAGAACTTTGGTAAAGCGAAAAAAAGGGGCACAACACTTGTATGGTAATCTTTTTTCTCTTATTTTGTATTTTTTTTTTGGTAAATATTGTTGATGCTGGGGGGACTAGAGTGTAAGTAAACGGGGAGTACGCAGCACTGTTTTGATTGAGCGCGCGCAAAAAATTATACACAAAATAATCACGCACACAGCGAAATCCGGATAGAGACGCACCGATGGCTTGAAACTGGGACCCGAGAAGAGAGCGTAGGGTGTGTTATTGGATGCTTTGGCTTCCAGGCACCGACCACGATAACTGCACTCGGTACTCAACTCACTTCGACTCGAATCGTGGCTTAAATCTCACTCGTAACTCACTTTCAGCTGCGGCTTGGAATCGGCGACCGTCTGCTTGGAAGCTTGCTTTCGAACTGAAACCGTTTTTTGCTATTCAACTGCTCAGCTGCCAAGCTGCCGAGCTGCTCGTAACTGCCACAGTCACAGCCACCACCAATACATGCGCGGAAAGCAGGTTGCTCCGGACGAAAGCTCGGTTCGCCAGTGGTGAGCTTTTCATAGTTGCCAGATTGATAGATTTATTTATGTACATACATATATCTTTAACCCGTTAGGGTCCGTAGTGTTGTTATTATTTCATAGTTAAAGAATTTTAACTCCTACTTTATTTCTTTTATAATAATTCAAAAAGTTAATTTAACATTATCTTATTACAAATTTTCAGATAAAAACGATAAAAATTAGAACATAAAATAAAAACACAAGCAATTTTTTTAAACTTCAAATTGTTATAAAAATTTAAAGTTTTTTCTAGTTTAACCGAACCAAGCTATGAGCCTTTGCTCACACAAAGCCCTGAAAATCCGTTGCCCCTGTTTTCCAATTTTCAAATTCCGATCTAATACTGAAAATGCCCATCAGGGAACCTTGTTCCCTAGCCCAGTTGGACAGATCATGAGTTACATGGAGGACTGTTTTGCCGGGGCCCCGCAGGAGTTCCTCATCTGCATTACCGTTCACAAGGCGGTACAAGTGGGCGTGGCCACCGGGGACCTGTACGTCCGGATTAGTCTGGACAAGATTACGAAGAGCACCAAGTCCTTTCCAAATACAGAGAATCCTTTCTTCAATGAGGTGAGCTTTGACTATATATGTATGTATGTACGTATGCAGACGTGTTAATGACAAGCTGTTCTCTTCTATGGTGAAAAACGAAGTGTTTTTTCTTCCTTTTTCTTATTCTATCTTATCCTAATTCGTACATGCTTTGGTGACATTTGCTGATCGTGCGAACAGGACACACATAGTGTTCGTTAGCCTGATCTTTATGCAAAAGTAAGGGAGAGGAATAGAATGTGCTTACACTAAGTGTGTATAGATAAGTTAGTGTGACTGTTTGTTACACATATTAGTGTAACCGCCTGCTACATATATTTCTTTAAATATAACTTCCCCTTAGTACTTTGTCTTTGAGTTCCACTGTACCTTAACCGAACTCCTGCGCCTGACGATCCTTTTCGAGTTGAAGAAACACATGACCTATAAGAAAAATGTGGTAATTGGAGAGCTACTAGTAGATCTACATAGTGTGTGGAATCAGCCCAATCATGGTTACTTCAAAAAATGGGGTCGTTTGGAGGCACCCATTGGAGAAAATCAACCGCTGGATGCTGCCACTGAACCACATGGCTATCTGCAACTCGATTTGGCCATCGTATCCCAGCATAGTCCTGTGTCCCTTGGTCTTAGATCTGAAGACCAGGACACCCAAAATCTTAATAAATGGTCGGTGGATCAGGATTATGATGATATTGAGAAGTGAGCTGAAAGTGATATTGATTTTAAGAGAGATTATTTACCATTATTCCTAGAAATCTCCTGACCAACGTCAACGCCTTTGCCCCAAGCAATATCCGCTACTTCGTCGCCTTCTATCGGGGTTACTTCATCAGGCAGAGTAACTACATGATTCAAGTATCGTTTGCCGGCTTCAATGTATCTGGCGCTTGGCATTGACTTATGTTTCCGTTTCTAAAGTACAGATTCCATCCTTTCAAGGGCAAAACCCCGGTGGCCAAGAGCACGACGACGCCAGTGTGGAACCATGAGATCAACTTCGCCTGGATGTACCCTTCGGTGGCGCAGCGTTTCCTTATCCTTATCTTTGCCCAGGAGCTACTACAATGGAAATGCGTGGCTGAGTGTGAATTGTCCCTGGACGAGATCGCATTTAAAGGTTAGCTCAACGACTTCATGGTCACTATTTTTTCACCTTCTGAATCCACAGGAACCCCATCCCTGGGACCCACCTACCTACATCTCTACGATCCTGTCAATCCCATGGTATATGTGGGTCGCCTTCTAATGGAACTTCGATCTGAGATGCTGACGGATTCCCAGCCCACCCACACGCTGGCCTCCAAGACGGTACCTGGCCTCGATGAGAGCCGTTTCTGGCACGACGATATCTACTTGGTAGAGTTCCTTCCACTAATGGGTCACCACATCCAGGCCACGGCCAGTGCTTACAAAATCTCCGCTCGATTAGCTGAGCACAGTTCGAATGTGTTAGAGGGTGTGTTAAGGACTTCGATGGATCGCTTCCGGTCTACCATGCACTCGAAGAGCTTCCGACGGGAAACACCTTTCCGCTCCTGTATGTTCCGTGTTCGCTTGCCGGACAATCGGGCCAAGTACGAAAGTGATTTCTTCATGCTGGATATAGTCAACTACATGGTAGGATTTCAACCTATCTTCCTTATTCCTATGTAATGTTCTCTTGATAAATACCAGCGCTCTGAGCTGGACACCTTTAAGGTCTTCCAGCTAAAGCATCCCCTTCAGGACGATGAGCAAGCCAAGTGCCTGAAGGCTATTGTCCGAAATATTCTTAGGAGGATTAAGGAGGGTCTAGATGCTCATCGTTTCGATCACGATGTGCAGCCACAGCGTACCACATGGGACATCAATCGGCAGCTTTACCTCCTCGATTACTTCGCCAAGTTGCCGCAAAAGCTGCATCAACTAAAGCAGAGTTTGCGGAGCTGCTTTCTGGAGCATTTGGACGCCTCCATTGCGGATGTGGCTAATGAGTTGCAGCGTTTGGTGGCTGAAATTGGATCCCTTTCTAGTATGGCTCGAATGCAGGACGAGTGGCCGGAACTGGTACTTTCCTTCAGCGCAGGTGGTAGGGATTTGGGAGTTTGTCGGTTAAACGCTAAGCTCTTTCTGTACCTGCAACACCAGAATAAGGAGCAGAGTCAAGAGACCCTTTGCTGGCGTCTTAGGAGCTTTTCTTTTAAGGCCTTCGGGTGCACGCATACCTGCCCCAATTGCGGTTGCACCACAGCCATAGTCTCAGGATGCCTATCAATTGTTGTGGAACGGGAGCGAAAGGAGTTCCTTTCGGCTATAAGTGATGATTGGAATTGCGTCGAGCCGATGCTGTGGCAGCCACATCCCTCTCAGACTAACTTTCTGTGCCACGTTTATGTCCATCAGGCCAAAATCCGTCCTGGTAGTGAAAAGAAAAGCGTCTGTGACTCCCACCTGAGAGTATTGTTCGCCGAGCAGACCTGCGAAACTTACACATCTCCTGGTACCCTGTCGCCCATTTGGAATGCTGTGATTACATTTAGCTGGTTGTCTCTGCCAGGCGGTGTTAGTCTATACCTGAAGAATCCACCTCTTCTCGCCTTGGAGTTCTACAACTCAGAACGAAGTCTCCCAGAAGATCTAGTGGGTTTGGGAAGTCTGCCAATGAGCGTTATCAGCGAAGATCGATCCACCGATTCCAGTTGGGAGGATTCAGGCAGATTGGGCTGGTATAAGAATCCTATGCAGAAGCTACAGAAATTGAAGCACCTAACCCCACCTCCACTTAAGTGGGTGCCAGTGACCAAGAAGGGCTCTGTTCAAGCTGAGGTATTGATGTCTGCGGAGCTCATCGAGCTGTCTATGGAACCAAGTAGTCAAGACATGAACAAAGAGCCACATCTGGCAACGGGCATTCCAGTGGCCATCAGACCTAATATGCAGAACTTTGTGTAAGTTTGGATTAAAGTTTTTTTAGTAGATACTAATCTGATTTCCATTTCAGCTTAGAGGTCTTCTTTGTGGGTCTGCGGAACTACTCCAAAAGCAGCATGAGTTCGGCTGGCAAACGGAAGATCAAGGTGATGATGGGTGATCTGGTCTTGGAAAGTGGACCTTCCACAGCGCGCGTCCGCAACAGCATTAACTTCCTGGTGGCCTATGCATCGGGAGTGGTGGTATGTTAATGCTCTATGGTATTGGCTTCTTATAAGCCCTTTTCCTCTTTAGAGCTTACCTGACCAGCAGGATTACTGGCCAGCAATCATAGCCACGGATGTCCTGCTTTCCGGCTACAGCAGCGAGTCTACCTTGGGAGCTGCACTCATTCCCAATTCCTCGAACTTCCTGCAACGTGACAGAACCCTTAAGTGTGTGTCCAAAAAAGAGCAGCCTTCTGGTGATGTTTCCACTACGGTTAGCGTGGATGACGCTGATGAGGATGATGAACTGGAATGGGAAGAGGAGGATGCCAAACCGTCGAGGATCAACAGCTGGTGGATGCGACTGATGTTTGCTTTGGGTCTGCGACCCGCTGCCTATGCCAATCGGAGGGCTTTAAGGTATGCTGGTGATCTGGATGACAGCGAATTGGTCGAAGAGCGAGAGTTCACCTGGTGGACCAAATTCTATAACTCTATGTATTGGACTGCAGCAGAGACTAGCCATGAGAACAAACACCGTTTGGTCATCTACCACGAGGAACTGGAGAAGCAGGCTCAGTTTGGTTACCTTCAAGACTGGGCAGTGCCTGTCCAGCTAGTTCATGGTGTCAAGTTAAAGAAGCAAGGTCCTCCCAAAGAGGATATCTATGCCACCTTGAAGCTGCAACTTAAGTTAACCCCTTGTCAGTGCTCGGTTCTCGAGGATCAAGGAGGTGGTGGCGACATGGCACGTCCAATGGCGAATCCTATACACCCCCGATATCAGTCCACCCTCCAGGCACTGGGTGAGACCATAAAACTATTAGTTCGTGTCTATATAGTGCAGGGTGTCCAGATGCGTCCTCGAGATCTGAAAGGTAACTCCGATTGCTATGTGAAGTTGTTCCTGGGCGGCAAGATGGTCTCCGATAGAGCTCACTTCTCCCCCAATCATAGCAACCCAGTTTTTGGGCGCCTATTCGAAATGGAGGCTACGCTACCAGGAGATCATATGCTGCAGATCATGGTATATGATCACGATAAAGTCAAGGATGAGGTGATTGGCCAGACAAATATCGATCTGGAGGATCGCTGGAGAACTAGGCATCGTGCAACAGTGGGTTTGGCCAATGAGTATACAAGGAGTGGCTATAACCACTGGCATGACCTGAAACTGCCCTCGGAAATCCTCATAGAGCTCTGCCAACGAAGGGGCATTCAGCCTCCCTACTATTATGGCAATGTTATTGAGGTGGATGGGATGCTTTTTGGAGATGAGACTGTGATCTCTAAAGGTGGGTTTCGCTTAGATTATATAATTTCTATTACTCTTTCTCTTTGTCAGATGAGGAGCTGCAAGAGCGCCTAAGCTTGGCAGTGCTTAAGAATATGGATAAATTGCCGTCTTTTGGCTACAAACTGGTGCCGGAGCATGTAGAGACACGCTCTCTATGTCGAGAGGACTTTCCAAACGTAGAACAGGTAATAAAAACATTATAAAATATCAGATAGATAAGCAACTTCTTCTCCAGGGTAAGCTCCAGCTGTGGATAGAGCTGTTCGAGGCCAATATCTATGTCCCCAATCCCATTGACATAACCCCAGTACCGCCCTCTGATTTTGAGGTGCGTGTTGTGGTCAAGAATCTGGCTGGCATCCAAATGGGGGACAAAAATGTTTTCGGCAAACTAATGAGCGACATCTATGTGATAGGGTAAGTGGGTGTAACAGAGGGGTGATGCCTATTATCCGTGGGATACAAGTGGATCCGAGTAAACGATATGCAATTACCAACGTTTTTCGGTGTTTTTCACAGCTGGTGCGAGGATGAGGACAAGCGGCAAACGACCGATATCCATTACCGCTCATTTGCCGGAGATGCGGCATTTAATTGGCGCATGGTCTTCGACATGAAGTATTCCCCCAACGAGGACCTGGTAAGCCTTGACCTTGCCTAATTGGTCAGGGTAAACAATACCCAAGCTGCTTATCCTTATTAATTATCCCGATGGCTCTCGTTTCCTTTTACAATTTGTATTTTTATAGATGGTTATCCGCCGGAAAGCGGGGTTGCTGGAGGAGATTGAATTTAAGAAGCTTCCGATTATCTATCTACAAGTCTGGGACAAGGATGTGCTGTCCAAGGATGAGTACCTGGCTGCTCTTGAGCTGAATCTTTCCAATATGTATGCCCCGTATCCAAATGAACTCTTATGTAAGCCTTATCCCAAGAAGAGGAAGCGCATCAATCTTTTCAAGCGCAAGGTCATCAACGGTTGGTTTCCACTGGAAAATAATAATAAACCTTCGCAAATTCGTTCTAAAACTAAAGTTCAAACGGTGAGTGGTGATGGTGTTACCAAGGTGATTATTTTAAATCTTTATTTCAGGGGAAAATGCAGCTGAACATTGAAATATGCACAGGTGTGGAGGCTGCAAACCGGCCGGCTGGCCGTGGCCAAGACCCGCCAATGGCCTTGGAGCCTCCCTTGTAAGCTTCTTGTTTTTCACTTATCATATTTTTAGATTTTTCCTTAACAATTTTGTAATATATAAAACTTACAGCCGGCCGGACACCTCTTTCAATCCACTGACGAATCCCTGCAAGTCTTTCCGGCACATCCTCTGGCCCGCCATTAGAAAGTATGTTCTTTGGAGTCTTCTCATTCTGATCGTTATCCTGGGATTGGTACTTTTCTTTTCCAATCTTCCCGGCAAACTTATGGCCATTCCCCTTGAGTGATGTTATACTTTTTGTTTTTGTTTCTTTTATTGCTTTTTTCTGTTTATTTGGTTGATAAATTTAATTTTCTTTTCCCTCTTAAAGTTTTTAATAAATTGTTTGTTTCTTTATTAGACCTGCTCTGCTCCGTCGCTTAAAAAGTAATTAATTGAATTGGCTAATAGCCATCTGTAGTGAAAGTGCAGGGAGAAAGCGATAATAGTTGGGACTGGGACTTAACCCCACTGAAACAAGTTGACCTGTGCTATGACGCTGGTCGATATAAGAAGTTAAGAGGATTTTATACGTACATATGTATGTTTTATTGTTAAGCTTATATGTTTTTAGTATGAGTTTTTCCATCAGAGCTTTAAATTATTTAAAAACACCTGTATTTTAAGGGATATTAAGGTATCGAGGATTAGATTAGGCCTTACTAACATATATTTATACCTTTTATCAGTTTTTTATAATTATATGCTCTAACTCCTTGATTTCCAGCTACATATCCCACTCCAATCCCACTGAGAGTGGGGAAAATCCATTTACTTCCGTTAGAAGCCTTTTAAAGCATCCAGAACTATCCCAGAGCTTCTCGACAATTTCACCATGTGGGTGACAAAATGGCAATTCGCTCGTTTTTGTGGATGTTCTATATACTCGTATATTGTATCTATATCGGTTCGATTATGTCGGAGTGTTAATGTGTTAATGGCGGCAGTCGCAGCGAAGCGAGACGAGAGTGACGAAACGCTGCCATTGCTTATCAGGACCGCCCCGAGCTGGTCTAAACCGTTCTGGGAAACTTACAAAGGTCCAAAGGCTGCCACGTTCAGTTGGTGTCCAGCTATCGGAGCTGTCGGTTCATAAATTACTTAGCAGCAAAAAACTTCCAGGGATAAATTGCTCCTTGCCAGAGTCAGTCAAAAGGTGCCAATTTAGTTTTTATAATTAAAGTGTCCGATGTCCATCAACACAATTGTGAAAGTTTGAAATTATTTTAGCTCTAACCTATAGCTTCATCCCTTTGCCATCGCAGGCATTGCTGGGTCCTTGTTCGCGTTCTTGTAGTGCTTCCGCCACGTCGCAGGAACGGATCGGCAGTGCAACATATGGCAAGCAGCCTTAAATGCGGTTAAACTCAGTGCCAAAATACTCGGAAAATTCGTGCTGCTGCCGCAGTTGTGCCTGCTCCGTGTGCTCTGTTCTAGTCTTGGCGGAAATCAAAATCAAGTTTAAGTTCTTTAAATTCAAAGTCGATTGAAAATGTAAGTGCCTCTTGTCTGCTACTCACTGAGGAAATACTTTAAACGCTGATCGAGTGAGAAAAAGGAGCTAGGAATCGAGTGTTTTGGAGAAAACTAAGGTGACTTGTGAAAGCGCTTAAAAATCTAAGTCTTAAGTTTTTTTATTACATTTTTTTAATGTGCCAAAGATATGAAAGATCTATGTAAGCCCTTGTAGGCTTTGTAAATAAAATACTCCTAATAAACCCACTACTACATGACCCAAAGTAACCCCTTAAAACGTCATTTAATCAAGGGATTTATTTACCCCGACGAAGGGCCAATGTTTGCTGATATTTGCCCACCATCACCACTTAGACTAATCGAAAGCCTCAAATTTCGTCAACTCATTCAACTTTTTTCCTGAAATTAATCAGAGTTTTTGTCTCACCTAGAGGGCTAGTACCTTCAATTTCATTAGTCCAAGTAAGATAGATATCTCCATAATGTAATTTGGAGTTAGAAATCCTCCTAGAAATTCCTGCGCACTTTGAATAGTCTTGCAGTCTGAATCCTTAGCTCGGGTAAACCAGTTCGAAATGAGGCTGGAGGAAATGGATATGGAGTAAGTCGGGATTTAAAGAGGGGCTAGGCATTATGCTAATTCCTCCTGACCGAGTGGCGAAAATAAACAAGCCATTAATTAGACACTTCCAGTTAATGGGCTGGCGGAACGGAGTCCCGCGTTCGATTCCCTCGGGCAGTGGATATAAATGGGGAAAATGACAAACGGCCATTGACTTGCTAGCCAGCCAGGATATACATACATATATATTTTAATATATAAAGAGTGCGTGTAAATTGGCCAAGGGTTGCTTCATAGTTAGCCCTAGTTGCAGTTACGTTTTAGTTTCAGTCCGATACAGTACTCTCCATTAAGTCGTCCTCGGGGTTATCTCTTTTATCTGGCGATATCATGTGACAGACGGGTTATCTTAATTGGCTTGCTGTCGATTTACGCGTATGCAAACCGTTTAGCCCAATCAATATCTAATTAGCCCACTGATTGTTCCGCCGCTGCCCCATGATGTGTGATAAATTGCGAAATAGAAACGAGATACTAAACACCATGTACAGTCGCGACCAGCGGCCCTTTACGATTACAGCAGCGGCCACGGATCGGCAGGCTTCGAGCGAAATAAAGATGCCCAAGCTCTATAACAGCGTCTACAGCGGGGAGTGTGGCGCCCTATCGCCCCCTGATCTCATGGAGGCCCAGCCTAAGCTCCTGCCTAAGCCAAGGAGCAACAGCAGCGGCAGCACTGCACGCAAGGTCAGTCTGAAAAACACTTTAACTGTTAATCTGGGGTCTCCAACTTCGTCTTACGGCAGAGCAGTTACTAACACAAATACAGAAAAACGTACACATATGTAGTGACGCTGTTGTATTGGTTTGCAGCTGTGCACTGAGAAAAAGAACGAAACCTTTTTTTGCTTAGCAACTTATCACTCATTTTCACACTCACGTCTATGGTCCACTGCGAAATAAACTCTAAATTTCAAACAGAAGTTACAAAGAAATAATTGCAGTGCTAATGCTTGAAGAGGATCCAGGAAGAAGAAAGAATAAATTATATTACAGTTAGCGACGGAATGAGGCGGGAAGAGGAAAACGAAAAAGTGTTAGCGGAATATCTCTGCTAGCAAGTCCATATGCAGCGAGAATTTACAAAAATAAATGGGCAGAGCACAGGCGTTGAGCAACCCTGCTTTAACAGTTATTCTTCGATATTTAATTACCAAAATAAATCAACAATTTAACACTTACGGAAAGTTATACTCGATATCATGCAGAAAATATACAAACACTTACTGACCTTTATTGACATCTCTTTGCAGTATTGGATATTCTCAATGATAATCGAGCGCAGCGCTGGTCCCAAGCGCATAGAAATCGATGGCGATGATGTGGACACGCCGCTGGAGGCCATCCTGCCGGCTGAACCGCCGGCTGAGGTCTGCTTTTTGCGTGACAGCCCCTTCAGGATATTGCGGGTGAGTTGATCCGGGATGGGTTAAATGCAGGTGTGGGGTAGCAATTCTCCAAAGTGTAGAACCCCGGCGAATCCCCGAGCGAAACCTATGATAAATGCTTCGCGATTGATTCTTACCTTCGGGTTTTATTTGTACTGAATAAGTTTTAAAAATAATGAAAATATAAACATTTAAAGATTTAAACTATAAATCCGAGTTAACATAGTCACCCAAAATTGACGCAACAAGTCCTTTTGAAAAAGAATGAAATTGAAACTGAAGTTGACTACCGAGTTCAACCAAATTCACGAAGCACATCCTCCTGAAAAAACTTGTGCCACACGCACACGAAGCTGCTGCTGTCAGTTGGCTATAAAAGCAGGACTGCTGTGTCTGAGATTTCAGTCATTCGGCGACTCTTCCTTCGTGGACCCAACTTCTTGTTTCCTCTGGATACTTACTCTCCTTTGCTCTCCTTACCAAAAATCAAGTTAACTTGGCTAGAAAATCAGTGGCAAAGCAATTTATTACATCTATTACGGTTGCCTAACTCAATAACAAATTATGGAATAAAAGTGAAATCAATATAATAAATTCTTTTATGGAACAAACTAAAAAATAATATATTTTTTACACATAACAAATTATATTTTTATGACTGCTTTTTCTCATGTAGTGGTAAAAGTGTAAAAGGTGTTTAACAGTACAAAAATATACTCAAAAATCTAATGTTTCAAAAAATATAATTATTATTAACTTAAAAGGAATATAAATATTTAAAAAGATAAATTATTCTAGAAAATTTGCAATTTAAGAAACAAATACATATCAAAGCCTAAAGTTTTTATAAGTGACTCTTTTTTTCTGGTTACCGCAATCAAATTGATTTTCAATCGAATTAAAATCAAACAAAATAAATATCCATTAATCCGCATATCAAAACTACAAGTTGTCGTAACTAAAAAATATATTTTTTGCTAATTGGAATTAAAGTCAAAGTAAATCAACACGTAATAGCAAAAAAAGCAAAGCTGAAATCAAAGAGCCAACAAACGCATATGGAAATTATATTGGAAAAAATCTGTAATAAGCCAAGGCTCTCGAAACTTCGCCCGAAGTCAGTTAAGCTCTAAGGACAATAAGACTTAATCGGCTAACTAAACACAAATGTAATTAAAGTCGACGATGACATCGGGCGACAAGGAGACCCCGAAGAGAGAAGACTTCACCAGTGCACTGCGATACTTGATGGGCGGCTGTGCCCGCGGAGCCGAGATGACTGCAATGGCACCGCTTAACCTGCCCAAAAAGTGGGCACGCATCCTGCGTATGTCCTCGGCGCCAAAGATACCAATCGTTGACTATCTCGAGGTAAAACTACTGGCCAGGAAACTCATTTAATTAGCGAAAAGTGTAACGCAAAATTAGCTCTACGGCTTTAAAAAATTAAGTTTCCTCCTCAAAAGTGTTTCACGGAAACTTTGGTAATGGACATTTCCAGAAAAAGGTGTTGGGAAAAGTCTTCGTGAAAATTGTTTCATCAAGAAAACTGAAAAAGAAATAAGACAATCAAATTACTCAGTCGCCGGAAGGCGTTAATATCTGAGAATCTATTGACATTTTGCAGTGCGACGATGTTTAGTACCTTCTTTGCTTTGCACTTGGAAAGGCAAACAGAAAGTTGTAAGAAAAATTTAATATAAATGGACCTTCGCCTTGAAGGTTCTCCGTTTCCCTGCGTAATTTGAGATTTTAAAAAGAAATAAGGAAATTGAAATATTTACAATACAATAAGAATGCAATAAGAAAGAATATTGTACATAAAAAAATAAATTTAAAATCTGCTTAAACATTTTTCTAAGTGCTGACCTGACCAAACAGAGCTTAGTCTTTTAATTGAAGTTGCTACAAACTATTAGACACCTGTTCTTCCGTTTCAGGCGGCTGAGTCCGGAAACCTTGACGACTTCAAGCGCCTTTTCATGGCGGACAACTCGCGGATTGCTTTAAAGGACGGAAAAGGACGAACGGCTGCTCATCAGGCTGCTGCCCGTAATAGGGTTAACATTTTGCGGTATATTCGCGACCAGAATGGCGGTAAGTGAGGTAATAAAAGCGGTTAGTTAGGCCTTCTTATTAAATGTGATTTACAGACTTTAATGCGAAGGATAATGCTGGAAATACGCCACTACACATCGCAGTGGAAAGCGATTCTTACGAAGCCCTAGACTATCTTTTGTCTATGTAAGTCGCTTAGCTATGGTTGATTTGGCCAAATAAACTTTGAGCATCTCTTCCTGAAAATCCTTACAGTCCAGTGGATACGGGAGTGCTAAACGAGAAGAAGCAAGCGCCAGTGCACCTGGCCACCGAGCTGAACAAAGTGAAGTCCCTAAGGGTGATGGGTCAGTACAGGAATGTCATCGATATCCAGCAGGGTGGGGAACATGGCAGAACCGCTTTGCATTTGGCTGCGATTTACGATCACGAGGAGTGCGCTCGCATCCTGGTAAGTGGAGTGAGTCATTGCCAATCGGTTCATGTAATTATTTTTACTTTTTGCCCTGCTTTCGTATTTACTCATGCATTTTATTTGCATTGATTCGATTTTTATCAAACCATTAATCAACATTCCTCATCCTCGTCATTCACCCTCTCGAAAAACACACTCATCCGTACTAATGTTTAATTTATCATAGAAAACAGAAACAAAAATAAGAAAAGGTTGGTATCCTCAGTAGAATTTTGTTTTGCCTGCCCCTAGACTAGGCCCAGTTTTCAAGGGTGTGTGTGTGTGTGTGTTAGCATATTAAATTAGACACATTTATATTTGTTTACTATAACTCATCGTATCTTCCAGATAACTGAGTTCGATGCATGCCCACGTAAGCCCTGTAACAATGGTTATTATCCCATACATGAAGCAGCCAAGAATGCCAGCTCCAAGACAATGGAGGTCTTTTTCCAGGCAAGTTTCCCATTTCCCCCAGTTCATATATAGATTTTTTAGTTGCATGCAATCGTTCAGTCAACCAATAACTATGTCACATCATCCAGCTTTGATCTTATTGTGGAAGTTATCCCCTTCGGACTATGGTCCGATTTGCTTGATTCCTTTTATTTAAACCCACCCCTGACCTTTCGTGCACTTTCTTTCGTTTTGGTTTTATTTTTATTTTCCTTGCTTCTTGATTGAAGTTGCGTATACGCCGCGTTGTCATTGTCCTCTTTAAAAAGTATCGAATTTGCCATGGGTCACTCTTGCTGACGAAAGAGAGCAGGAAAAAATGGTTTCCAGAAGTTTAAGCTGCACAATAAAATATCAAATGTTGGGAAGGCCTGGTCGGTCATTGACTTTGAATTACAAGCTCAATGAGGTATTATTTTGACTATCTTTGGCTTATTTAATCAGGATTTTGTCAAAGAACGTTTATTATGTTAAAGTGTTTCTTTGCTTAGTTTACTAACATGGATATTAAAGCGGGAACGGCGATTCCTCGGACTTTATAAGCAATATTTATTTCCTGGAAAAATCATTCTTTTGTCTAATCAGGTAATATATTTTGTAGTGGGGCGAGCAACGCGGTTGTACCCGCGAGGAGATGATATCCTTCTACGACTCAGAGGGCAACGTGCCGCTCCATTCGGCTGTCCATGGTGGCGACATCAAGGCTGTGGAGCTGTGCCTCAAGTCCGGAGCAAAGATATCAACGCAGCAACATGATCTTTCAACGCCAGTGCATTTGGCCTGTGCCCAGGTGAGTGTATGTTGCATGTGCCCCTCAGAAAATCCTTCAACGGCGGTTAACTGACAGGCAGCCAAGCACTTGACAACTCTCATATTTCCACGAGGAGTTAAGCAAACAAAGCATTCTTGGTCAGTAAACGATAGGAAAACAGCGTTAAAGCAGCTTCAAGGGACTGTGGAAAGTGACTGTGTGTTTTCCTTTCGTTTCGACTCGTGTCCTAGTGTCCCGAGCTGACTTTAATTTGACAAATTCTTATGCAAATTCACTAAGACGAACGTGACTTTGCCGCTGACAAAACAAAGCACTCCCATGTTGGGAAATACACACTACGGATGAATGAATCCAACATGGTTTTCCAATTCCGCTTCTCGCTCTGTTTTTCTCTTAGGGAGCTATTGACATTGTCAAGCTTATGTTTGAGATGCAGCCGATGGAAAAGAGACTCTGCCTGAGTTGTACGGATGTGCAGAAGATGACCCCACTGCACTGCGCCTCTATGTTTGATCATCCGGATATTGTATCTTATCTGGTGGCTGAGGGGGCAGACATTAATGCCCTGGACAAGGAACACCGTTCGCCATTGCTGTTGGCGGCCTCTCGTAGTGGCTGGAAAACTGGTGAGCTTTAGTCTTCACTTTTAAAATTTGTTAATTACTTATTTATTTTTCCACAGTTCACCTCCTTATACGCCTGGGTGCGTGTATCAGTGTCAAGGATGCTGCTGCCCGCAATGTGCTGCACTTCGTCATCATGAACGGTGGACGGCTGACGGACTTTGCCGAGCAGGTGGCCAACTGCCAGACGCATGCGCAGCTGAAGCTGCTGCTCAACGAGAAGGACAGCATGGGCTGTTCGCCGCTGCACTACGCTAGTCGGGATGGGCACATCCGTTCGCTGGAGAATCTCATCCGACTGGGGGCTTGCATCAACCTGAAGAACAACAACAACGAGAGTCCGTTGCACTTTGCCGCTCGTTATGGGCGATACAACACCGTACGCCAACTTTTGGACTCCGAGAAGGGCTCGTTCATCATTAACGAAAGTGATGGGGCGGGCATGACGCCGTTGCATATATCCTCGCAGCAGGGACATACAAGGGTAGTACAGCTGCTGCTAAATCGAGGAGCTCTGCTTCATCGGGACCATACTGGACGTAATCCTCTACAGCTGGCTGCTATGTCTGGCTATACTGAGACCATCGAACTGCTGCATTCGGTACACTCTCATCTGCTTGACCAGGTGGACAAGGATGGGGTGAGTATAATAGCTTACCTTTTGTTAACTTAAAGAACCAACAATTATGGGTAATCCCTCTAGAACACCGCTCTTCACCTGGCCACCATGGAAAACAAACCTCATGCGATCTCCGTACTGATGTCTATGGGCTGCAAGCTGGTCTATAATGTCTTGGATATGAGCGCCATTGACTACGCCATCTACTACAAATATCCAGAAGCGGCCCTAGCCATGGTGACCCATGAGGAGAGGGCCAATGAGGTCATGGCTCTGCGATCGGACAAGCATCCCTGCGTCACCCTGGCCCTGATTGCCTCCATGCCTAAGGTTTTCGAGGCTGTACAGGACAAGTGCATCACCAAGGCCAACTGTAAGAAGGATTCAAAGAGTTTCTACGTAAGTGGGTCGTTTCCCGGGGGTGATTTAGATTCTCATCTCATTCCATCGAAGCTAATTGATTTCTATTCGCCACAATCGATTTCATCGTAACCAGATCAAGTACTCTTTCGCATTCTTGCAATGCCCCTTTATGTTCGCGAAGATCGACGAGAAAACCGGAGAGTCGATAACGACCGCAAGTCCCATTCCATTGCCGGCTTTGAATGTAAGCGGAAACTGGAATCCTTTCCAGAACTGTTGCATGCTTCTTTCGGTGTTGTTCTTCCTGCCCTTCCTTATATACGATACCAGAGTTAACCCAGGGAAGACTTTTCGGGGGGTTAAACTAGGAGCCAATCATGTTTCATAGTTCATCCAATTGGTTAACAGCAACATCTATAATCATCACTTGGTTATCATCTAGATAAAATATTCATTTTGGCCCTACCAAAAGACACCCGAACAAATCGAGGCCAAGCGCAAAGAGTTCAATGACCCCAAGTGGCGACCCGCGCCTTTGGCCGTGGTGAACGTGAGTGTCCCCGAACTCTCTTAAAGATCACAGAGCTCTGCAATTGTGTATCGTCCTCCAAACTAACCCACTAACCAGCTTACTATATCTGGCTTTTGTAACTTCGATATTGTGTGCGTGTCTGTCCAATATTTTATCAAATTTCTAAGATATATATTTCTATGATCTCTGTTAGACCATGGTTACTCATGGCCGGGTGGAGCTGTTGGCCCATCCGCTTAGTCAGAAGTACCTGCAGATGAAGTGGAACTCTTATGGCAAGTACTTTCACCTGGCCAACCTGCTGATCTACTCGATATTCCTGGTATTTGTAACCATCTACTCCTCGCTAATGATGAACAACATTGAATTGAAGGCTGGAGATAACAAAACTATGAGTCAGTACTGCAACATGGGGTATGTTATGATCTATCTTAAGGAAATCTTATAATCAAACCTCCCCTTTCAGCTGGGAGCAACTGACCATGAATCTGACGCAGAATCCTGCAGTGGCATCCCAAATTCGTTTAGATTCATGTCAGGAGCGCATCAACCGGACCACTGCAATTCTATTCTGTGCGGTGGTCATCGTGGTTTATATATTGCTAAACTCCATGAGGGAATTAATACAGATTTACCAGCAAAAATTACACTATATCCTGGAGACAGTAAACCTTATATCCTGGGTGATGTACATCTCCGCCTTGGTGATGGTAGCACCGGCCTTTCAGCCAGATGGAGCTATCAACACTATCCATTATTCGGCGGCCTCAATTGCCGTGTTTCTATCTTGGTTCCGGCTGCTTTTGTTCCTTCAAAGATTCGATCAGGTTGGCATCTATGTGGTCATGTTCTTGGAGATCCTGCAGACGCTTATTAAGGTGCTGATGGTATTCTCCATATTGATCATTGCTTTTGGCCTGGCTTTTTATATACTACTATCGAAGGTGAGCTTTTGGCTATTATTGGGAGTTGATATTCTTATAGCTCTTATTTCCACAGATTATTGACCCCCAACCAAACCACTTGTCCTTCTCCAACATACCCATGTCCTTGCTGCGAACCTTCTCGATGATGCTGGGCGAGCTGGACTTTGTAGGAACTTACGTTAACACCTACTATAGAGATCAGTTGAAGGTGCCCATGACATCCTTTTTGATTTTGAGTAAGTATAGAGTTTCCTTATATTTTCCATGTATATGACAAATATATATTCCTAGGTGTCTTCATGATTCTCATGCCCATTCTCTTGATGAACTTGCTCATCGGTTTGGCCGTCGGCGATATTGAGTCAGTACGTCGTAATGCCCAGCTTAAAAGGCTGGCCATGCAAGTGGTGCTCCACACAGAGCTGGAGAGGAAGTTACCCCACGTCTGGCTGCAGCGGGTGGACAAAATGGAGCTCATCGAATATCCCAATGAGACAAAGTGCAAGCTCGGCTTCTGCGATTTCATCCTTCGCAAGTGGTTCTCTAATCCATTTACTGAGGATTGTAAGTTAAACTGGAATTCGTCTGGTATTAGAACCACTTAACTTATTACTAACTTTCGTGTAGCATCCATGGACGCCATATCCTTTGACAACAATGATGACTACATCAATGCGGAATTGGAGCGGCAGAGGCGAAAGCTGCGCGACATTAGTCGGATGTTGGAGCAACAGCACCAGCTTGTGCGACTCATAGTCCAGAAAATGGAAATCAAGACAGAGGCCGACGATGTGGATGAGGGTATATCTCCTAATGAACTACGATCCGTAGTCGGCCTGAGATCAGCAGGCGGAAATCGATGGAATTCACCACGGATCCGGAATAAACTACGAGCCGCCTTGAGTTTCAATAAGAGCATGTAGAACCTGCCGATAGGCGAGACTCGGCTATATAACTATATATGTGTATTGTCCTCAGTAGAAAAATTGCACGTATTTAAACTTATCTCTATGTGTGTGTAAAAAAGGTATCCCATAGTGGATCGTGTGTGTGCATGTGAAGATCGGATTGTGTGAGGTCCTAAAAGGAATTGTACAACGAATTTATAGGCAAGGATCATGGGCTGTTTTAGTAACTTGAACAAGCTGTGGCATTCAACAGATCTATTGTAGTTTTTAAATGCAATTTGCAAAGTATGCATTGTTATTTGGATGTCTTTTAAAAAGTATATAAAATAAATCTATATTATCCAGAAAAGATCATTAGTTTGGAAACGAAGGATACAACCTCCTTTAGTCAAATACAAAATTCTAATTTATTTATGACAATGATAAATGGTAAAGTGACAATGTATAAGAATGCGGAATAATGGTAACGATTTGCGATAAAGAGACAAAAACTAAAGAACTAATTTAAATTTTAAAATATAAAAGGAGGAATCTACATAAATGTAATCTTCGTGCGTCCCATGTTGACTTGCCAGACATTGAGCTCCTCGTAGTCGTCGATGCATTTGTCCACTTGGTCAGGTTTGAAGCCCTTCGTGGTGCAGCGGTCCATGATGTCGCCGATCTTGACTGCCTTTCCTGAGCCCGCGAGCTCGCGAACGATGGCGAAAATGCGATCCGAAGTGTTGGGAACACTGCAAAGGGAATAAGGGAGAAGTTAGCTCAAGGAACTACTTTAAGGCTTGCACAATACTCACTGTCCCTTTTGGTGCTCATGGATTTGGTTAAGCGAGTCCTTGGACATCTCTAGTAGACGCAGCGCCTCAGCCACATCATCCTTCTCCACGCTGTCGGAAAGACGCAACCTAGCCAAAGCGGTAGACAGACGCAGGATTCCCAGCAAGTTACGAGCCGAGGTAAAGGTCATATCCTTCTGGTTACGTGCCTCCCGACGCAGCTCAACATAGGCACCCACAATATAATCAGTGAGCTCATCCGGAATGGTTGGATTCTTCCTCTTACACAGATTAATATAGCGCCGCATAAGATTCATGTCCAAAGCCTTGACACGAGTGGGCGGCTGTTTGCTGTGACTGTGCACATAGGTAATGTGCTTGGCCAGTCGCAGATCGTTGTCCCGGTCTGGCTTGTCCTGGATGAGCCACAATAAATCGAAACGCGAGAGTAAGGCTGCGGGTAGCTGAATGTTCTGCTCCACAGTACGACGAGGGTTGTAGCGTCCGAAGGCGGGATTAGCAGCGGCCAGGATGGAAACGCGAGCATTTAGCGTAGTCATGATGCCTGCCTTGGCTATCGAGATGGTCTGCTGTTCCATCACTTCGTGAATGGCTGTACGATCCTGATCTGCCATCTTATCGAACTCGTCAATGCAGCAGACACCTTGATCCGCCAGAACCAGAGCTCCTCCTTCCAGGGTCATTTCGCCTGTAAGCGGATCCTTCATCACCGCAGCAGTCAGACCCACTCCCGAGGATCCTCTTCCAGTGGTATATTGCGAACGGACAGCCAAACGACTGATGTAGCCCAGCAGCTGAGACTTGGCTACACCAGGATCTCCCATCAGGCAGATGTTAATATTACCACGAATCTTCATGCCATCGGGGCGTTTGTCGACTCCTCCAACGAGGAGCAACAACAGAGCCTTTTTGACATCTAAATGGCCGTAGATTTCGGGGGCCAAGCTGGTAGCCAGGCGTTCATAGAAGTCATCCTGGGCCAACTCCTCCAGCTCATCTGGAGTCAGCTCTGCATCCTTGTCTGAGATTTCGTCATTCTTGTTGATACAGATGATGCGCTAAAGGGAATCATTATGTTAATTTGCTGAATAGGTAATAATTTTAGTTAAAAACACTTACGTGAGCTTGAAGGAATGTCTCTGACAGCAGGCCCTGGATCATCTGGGCAAAACCAGTACGCATCAACGGCAGGAACACTCCAGAGACCACAATGTGATCTCCAGGCTGGGCCTGGCGAGTGACTTCACCCCTGCACATGATGGTCATGCTGCGTGGAATGTGGCCCACTGGCACCTGGTCACTGTGCTCCTGTATCTTGACCTCCTGGAACTTAACGAACTTGGAACCACGAGTCTGCAGATATAGCCTGCCTCCCGCCTTGTTCACACGGCAATCATCCGAAGGACAATCGTGCACGGGAGTAAACGAAAGCGAGTTCACGGGCTGATAGGTCTCCGAACCACAACGATCGCAGGTATAGGTAGCCACCACCATCATGGGTTTGACTTCCGTGCAACGGGTCACAATGCCGCGTACAGTCACTAGCTTACCAATATGCTGGGCTTTAACTTCGCGAATGGAGTGCGCCTTCTCTGTGGACAGGGGTTTGAAGCCCACCTCGCTAGAAAATTAGTTAAGATACATTTTATTGTTAGGCTTGAAAAAAAGCAAAGTAAAGTTGAATCACTTACAATCGCTTCATCAGCTCAGAGGGGAAGCTGTTCCGCTCGTCGCGCTGCTCCATAGGATTCCTAGTACGGGACTCCATCATCAGACGATGCTCAATGTAGACATCCAGGGCGTCCTTAGCGTGGACTTCCTGCTGTTTGTAGCTGGGCAGAAGTTCAGCAATCACATCACTGAAAATGGCCGCATAACGGCGGCAGTTGTCGATCACCGCCTCGGAGAGACTCTCATTGAACTCCGCCAGATCATCCAGATCGATGGTGATTAATACTTGTTCCCGGTGCGCCAACTTCACCAACTGCGATCCGTAGACAAACTGCTTCTTGCCATCATCATCGCATTTGCAGAATTCCGACAAAAAGGTCTTGATGGATTCTGCACATCAAAAACATTTGATTTTTGATGCCTCAAAATACAAAGACTCCTTTTTACTCACCTCGATCTTGAGCATAGTCTCGGCGAGCCATTTTGCGCTTGGTTCTTTTGTGTTATCAACAATGAATAATAAATCGAGACAGCTGCTTGCCAAAGGTGTTGTTAAAGACGCTGTTTGCTGGGAAATGCGGGGAAAATAATGAAAATGTAAACGCTTCCCGCCAAAAATGTGTTTGATCTAGAGATGGAACTGAAGTTGATGCTTATTCGATACTATTGCATATAAGGCTGCCAGACCGAGAAAATATATCAGTCTGTAATATAACAGTTTCGCTGCTTAACATTTTCGTATGTTTTCAGGCTGATATAAACAAAATTTAAACAAATTAAGAAGTTTAATTAATAAGTTTTTTTTTTTAAATTACCGTATATCTAGTGAACAAATCGGTTGTAGCCATTACTTTATCAAGGTACTTATATTGGTTAAAGTCTTGGCTATGAAAGTATAACAAGCCCATGGTGAATTTATTTGACAGCGCTGCCATCCCTCTAAATAAAAACACCGCGCTTATTTTGAATTTCAAATATTGACGTTTATTCAGGTTTTAAATGAAATTTACAAAAGGTTTTTGTTTTCAGTTTCGCTTTTCCACCGTTACATTTAATTACTCATAGCACTATTGCGTTTCGCTGTCAATAAACTTGTTGGACTTGCATTTCTTGTTACATAATTATTTATTGGTTTTTAGGCATCTAAAAGTAGTACATTTATTTTTAGTGCAATTTTTGTTTCGCAATGGTTATCTCCGAATTATCTTCCGATTTACAACGATGATTTTTGCTCGCGCAATGTGCGACTCTTGTTTTGCGGTATACATAAGTTACAATTTAATATGTTGCGTTTACGTTTAACTTAAATATTATTAATCACATGCAATAGTTAAATAATAATGATACAAATAATAATTATACATAGTTCAACCAGCGCGCCGTCACACAAATCTAATCCGATCTAATCGTCGATCGGATTGTCGTGTATATATATATATATATATATTAATATGCGATATAATATGCCAATTCTGATGTGTGCGGCGGCAGTTGGCGTTTCCTTTGTTAATTTGCTACTAACTAAATTTGTTGTTCTCCGTCAACTTTTTTGCTTTTTACACATTACGGGCTAATCGTTACAGCTTACGCACTAGCATATAATTACGATTTAATTAGTTAATTCATTTATGTGTATATATATATATATTTATTTATATATAGACTTCATTCTTATCGCTGGCGTCGTACTCGTATCAATGCATATTTCATATTCATTTGTATATATATAATTTTATTTGTGTTTTTTTAGAGTGTCGCCAGCGCTGCTCTCTGGATTTGATTCAGCAGCGCTCTGCCCCACTGTAAAGTATCCGTTAGATTGCAACAATAGTTTCGTTTTGAAATTGCAGATTGCGAATTGCAAATTTGCGAATTGCGAACTGTGATTTGTGCGCTGAACTCTGCATTTTCCGCACTTTCTCTCCAAGATTTTTCCAAGTGCTCAATTAGCTGAATGCATTTTATGACATTTCTTTTCCTCTTCTCCTCTCTTTGTTCATATAATTTAAATAATGCTACATATAATATACGTATATATATCAATAGATTTTCATCGATTTCCGTCTCGCTTCGTTTTTTTTTTTTTTTTTTTTTGCGTATAAAGCTGTAAGTCTTCTAGTTTTTCCGTAAAGTGCGTTTTACTCAACTAAATTCCATTCGTATGCATTTCGCGTCGATTACCCAATTAATCAATTTCTAAATTGTTCGTATTCGTTCAGTTCGAAAGGTGTAGACAACAATAATTTTGTTAAAGTTTAACATTCACTGAGCTACAGCTAACAGATTTATATCCTTTATCCTTTACGTATTATATTTTGTGATAGCTCCAAATAACTAGCCATTGAATGTGCTGCCACGCCTCTGATTTATATCTTTCTGCTTTAATTACACCGAAAAGGAACAACTTGCTTTGAACATTGAGCTTTATGTACTGTACGCTATATATATATATATAATATATATGTATATATTATTAACATGTATCTGAACAAACTGCACACTCTATGGAAAGGGTTCTGCTTTGAGTTTGAGCCTATTCTGTTTTCTGTTTAGCTTTCGTATATAGTTATATTTTTAGCAATTGCTCAATTCGTATGCAGACATCCAACATATTTATATGGCACACAAGTTGGATTCTAGTTGGATTCGGCATGGAAATTCGATGAGCTTTAAATTTGGAAAAGCTAGAAGGAGAGAGGTGCGCTTCAAGTTTCAAGTTTCACCCTTTAACTTTCAAGGTTTCAAGTTTCGATTGTGGTGTGTAAATTGTTAGTCGATTGCTAGATGAATGCGCTTAGGGCCTAATAAATTACTTGTAACAACTTAAGAATTACACAAATAATAATAATAATAATAATGATAATAGTTATTAATTAATGATTTAACTCGATTCTTGTGCATTTGCTGTTGCTCTTGTTGTGTGTGTATGTGGCTTCATCAATCCTTTCCCTCGTACAGTGGGCCACATTTTACTTTTTGAATTCAATCCCTCGGGTCGGGGGCAGAATCCTTAACTACAACTACTGAAGAGCATTGTGACTAGAGTGAGGAGCATCCACGTCGTGGTAACCTCCAGAGGGTTGGACCCTCTAGACTTGCCGCTGTCGCGCGACTCCACTTCGTTGGTCGTGGTGCCTTCGGTCTCCTCGATGGGCATGTGGGGTCCTAAGAAGGATAACGTGAGAGGATTCAGATTTAGAAAGACTAAGTTCAAGATAACTTTTGAGAGTTATAGATTGATTGTTTAAAGAACTTACCATCACCGGAACCATCTCCGGATCCATGTGCACCACCATACTCCTCCTCGTCGTCGCCAATTTGGCCCTCTCCGCCACCAGAGCCCTCACCCATATCATTTTGGATGTCATGCGACGCTTGTATGCTACTGGAAGGTGCCTGTTTAAGAGAATATAGAAATTAGTAAGGAACTTAGTTAACTAAATATAAAGATATATCTTACCGCAGCTCCGATGCTCTTGCGGATCTTGATGAGCTTGTCGACCAGCTCGTTCAACTGGCTGGCCTGAGTCTTCGAATTGAAGGGCACCTCGGGGTTATAACGCTGGTTATCAGTTCCCGGGCTAATCAGCAGCTGGGTGTAGTCCCCGATGCGATCGCCTGTCCAGCAGGAGTGATCCTCGCGAGAGTGCTGCTCGTCACAGAAGCTGTTAAGAAATGTGACATAAACTTAGTTAGCTTCAATTTTTAACTCCATTTCCATTTACAAGTTTCCCAACCTTTGTGTGTTGATTGAATCAACTTGATTCCCATAAACAATAAACCAAAAAATAAAAATAAACAAAATGTTTAAGGAACTCGTATTATGGATGCATCGCTTGGCCCACGACTTTTGCTTGGCTCGTCCTTTGGCTCAGATACCACGTCACGTAAGTCTTATATTTATAAATAAAAGTAAAAAGAATTTAACTTATTTTAAATTCTACTATTTAAGGGCTGTCGTTTGCCAGTGAAGAATGGATTCTTTGCCAATTTGATATTCTTTGTGGCCATCGTTGCGCCGTTGTACTTTTGCCTTCTGAAGGATGTGATCGCCATGATCAGTGGGCCCAAGAAGCCTTAGTTAACCACAGGACATTAAACCGTTTCTAAGTCATAGCTTGGTCAGTCAGTATAGTTAGTGTAAAACCCATAACCAATCAATACAGTTTGTGGCATCGTCTGAATACTCACTTGTCCACGATGGTCGTGTAGAACTCCTTGCTCTTGTCAATGGTGGAGAGGAAGAGGACCATGCCCGGATCCGGGTCAGTGGCCCACTTCATGTTGTTCTTATGGGGCGGAGGCCGCGCATCCGGCTCTCCGGATGAATAGGGCGTCAAGCTGGGCGTGCCGCACGTCTTCTGCACCTGGAAAACAAAAGAGGGAGAATGTGGTATAATCCATGTTGTGCTCAGGTCTAAGGGGGTTCCACTTCCACTTGCTAATCGCCGTCGCTCATGCAAGGCGCACGTGTTTCCCCCTCTCACCTGACCCATTATTAAGCTGCCCAGGTGCTCATTGCACTGCATGTAAATTGCAACTTTCAGGGGGGGTTGGAAAAGTACCCACTCGACTCTAATTTAGCATTTTAAATTCCCCACAACATGCCAATCATGCGAAGGGGTATCAATTGGATGTCATGTCCACTTTTAACAAGCCCTCGAAATGCTAAAGATACTTTTTTTGTAGATGCTGCTACTACTGCAGCGATCATCAGAACAAGTTTGAAGGCCGGAACTGAATTCCGATTCATTAAATTCATTTAAAATGTTCATAAATTAACTGGCAATTAAACCATTAAATGAACGTGTCCTTGGGACGCAAGTTAACGAAATCGATCGTATCTTCAGATAGATTTCAGAAAGAGAGGAGCGGCGTCCTTGAATTTATTTACTTTTATGTCAATGACATATCGATTTACTACATTATGGTAGGCTTCATACTTTCTTTGTTTACTTTAAACTATAACTTAGCTTTCTACTAGGGCCACTCACCTTCATCTCCAAATCAGGGCCATTGTTCATGGCCGCCATGATTGCATCTGAGCAATAGTTCTGTAGGTGTTTGATGACCGTGATGATGCCGTTCTCCGAGAGTATGTGGGTGGTCACTAGGTTATTCAGTGCATCCACCACACTCGACCAGGGACTGTCCAATAAACCAGCATATTCCGCCGAGCAACCGCTGAAGATCATAAAAGAAAGGCATAAAAATTAAACATAAAATAATATAGCAAACATAACAAATGAGGGTCAATTTAAACTCTTTCATTTAACGGATTTAACGATGCTTAATATGAGTTTGTATTATCAAAGAATGTTTGGCATTCATTTAGAATTAATGGGTTTTTGTTAAATTTTAATGATAATTTCATTTTTTTCTATTTCTATAATTTTTTAGTTGTTTTTTTTATAGATTTTTATATACACCTTAATCTTATTTCATATTCCGACTTACCGCATCACGTTTTTGCAATAGCCGTAGCACAATTTCGTTTCGCTCCTCGAACTGGAGTGGTGTCCATTGCAGTTGGGGCAGTAGTGCATCTTAAGGAGCTGCAGCTTGCACGTGTCCGTCAATTGCTCGCCATAAAGGGCATCAGCTTCGCTTAGGACCTCGGCTGCCTGGAGCAGGGCATTCATAAAGACATTGGACATGTGAACACTCTTGCCCAAACTGGTCTGCATTTGCCGTGGAATATCCCCAAATGGATGCATCTCATCGAAGTTGTGCTGGAGACAGTTCACATAGTCTTCGTGCAAATCACCCAGGTTGCTCTTGGACAGATGAACCACCTGATGGTAGGCCACCGGAAAGAGTTGGACAAAGAAACGCCTTACAGCCTCCTCCAAGTTGCTCTGGACACTACCCATACCCCGCCTGCCCATCTGGCCATTGCTGTTCGTGTAGTTTGAGGTGTAAATCAGATGGCTAAAAGGAGAAGGAACTGAGTTAGACATAAACCTAAACAAATTACTTTCTTTTTGAAAAGTTAATAACTTTCCATTAAACTAACTAACTATATAATATTTGTACTACTTACTTCATGATTTCGGTGTACAACTGTTGGATCATCATCCGGGATTGCGGTACCATGCGAGCGTAGACCTTCGAGAAAAGGGAATGGGTATTGTTTTCCGAAATCTGCGCCAATTCCAGGACGTGACCTGCCGCAAGAAATGAGAAAAGCAAAAGAAAAGGCATCCATGAAAGTATTGTTATGATTATTGTTATTCCTAGCGAAATTTAATCACTTTGCCGCTAAAGTTTCCCGCTGCTGGGATTTGCAGAAAACTTCTGCCCTAATGGACTGGCTGGGATTTCCGCCCACTTGGAAAAAGGAATTGTTGCCATTGCTCTTTATATCTGTGTATGTACGAGTAAGCTTTTAGTTAATGAAATACAATTTAATATGGCTGTTGGCTTGCCTTGGCTGGGCAAAGTTAAATATGAAAAAGCTTGGTAACATTTTCAGATAAAATAAAGCTACATAATTGCCTTTTTCAGTTTAAAAAATAAACTTCTACCTTTAACATAATATATATATATTATATATACAGATAAAGCTGAGCTTAATTACCGGTTATCGCCTACTATCTATAATATGTCAATCATTCCGCAAATCACGCGGTCTAAGTTGATAAATTCTCTTAATATTCCGACACTAATCACACGGCTGAGCGTAAGAAAAACCAAATGTGACACAATGTTATCTGTCAAGGTGTCAGTGGCAGTTGTGCGAATTGATTTGGATACACAGATTGGCTATCGATATTCAGAGATACAAAGATACAGATACAATCCTCTGGCAGCCTGTCATTAGCGCAGATTACAAATGGCCAAGGCCGTATATATCGGAATTTAGACAAGCTATCTATATAAAATCGAGGGAAACTGTCAAATCGGCGTGTGATTTCTCACACACATCGATCCGCCTCCTTTTTTTTTGGCCCTTAACAAATTCTAAATTGCAATACGCTGTCTTCTATATCGTTTTCAAACGAAAGTGTCAATCTTTCTGTTAATTGGCAACAAAAGAACGGAGAGTGGAGAACAACACACAAAATACACACATTTCGACATGGCAAAAGTGTTTCCAGATTTGTTATGTTTTTTTCTTCTTGTATGTTCTGGCGCTGCGGCTCATTTTGATTTTGATGTTTGGAGCATTTCCGTTCTCAGCGTTTGAATAAGTCTTTGTGTCTGGTTTTTGGGCTTGGCTTGGAGCGGTTGGTGTGTGTCGATGTGTCAGCTTTTGTGGACTTGGGGGTTCTGCATTTATCGGCTAATGGCCTTTGATGCGTCATCCGTGGCGAGCAGAGTTTACCCTTTTTAATTAGCAAAACTTACGAGTTTGGTTTTTGGATATTTTTGGGTAAGCCAATCGTTTTGAAGAGGATATAATGCCCTAGAATGGCCATCAATTCGGAAGGGTTTCTCATCAAAATAGCATTTAGGTGTGACACAGATCATGGCAAGATCTTAAAAATCAAATAAAAATTTTAAAAGAATATTTCAGTGATATTTTTAAGGGCTTCTTCAATAGCCTTGATATTTATAGACTTTAATTTCCAAAAGCACGCTGATATTTACGCGGTTTCTTTTTCACTTTCGGGGCAAGAAGTGCCCGTTTCCTAATTGTGTGAAAATTCCTTTACTTATCCATATCTAGTATATAATATTTAGTGTGGCAACGCTGGCATTGCACTTAAATTGGGTTTACAGTTCATTGTTGTTATTATCGAAGATCAATCCTATTTATTTATTTCTTAACTTTACATCCTTTTATCCAAATCAAAAGATTAAAGCCAAAGGAGATTTGATTAGCTGTATTTAATGTGAAATTTCTATGTCTTTCTGTTAGTGGCTTAACAGAGGACCAACTGGTGAGCCAGCTAATCGCTCGAAAGTGCCTGACAATTGCCCAGGATGCGATAAATAATGCCAGTCAATTGATTTAACGCGTTTGCGATACAAAGCAACCATAATAACGCCAGATACCAGAGATTCACATAGATAGATGGTGAATCAGGAGCCAGGGAAGAGGGGAGCTGACACATCCTGTCGCTAATCTCATTGACGTGGCATAGTTAAAATGGAGCGTCGACTGGCGGAAACATTTAATTATTAACACGCCGCATCGAACGTGTTGATGCGCTTGGATATATATATATATATTGATCTATATATACATTCCCACACTGTGTGACATCGGGATCCCGGACCGATTGGCTCATTAAAGCGGCGGCAAAGTGAACCATTAAGTTGGAGCTGGAGCAGCTCCACAGAGCGAGATGTAGAGGAAGTGCGGATGCAGACGACAATTACATGAATGAGATGCCTAAAATCGCTTCTATTGATTGAAAATATTTCCATTGCAGGCCAGGCAATAGCTATTTCCCTTATCCGGATTCCCAGACTCCTTTGCTAGGATATCCAGTGGCATATTCATCGATTTACAGCCTAATTGCAATTTTAATGAACTCACTGCGAGTGCAATTGTCGATTGGAGGGGGAATTGCTGAGAGCAGGCAACGCTGCGTATGCTTGATATGTATTATTGCAGCTGCTTTTGTTGGCTTAATACGCTCAATTAAGTTTCGGGGCCCACACAGACACTGTATCGCCTCAGGTGTGCATGCATTTGTATCTTTGTATCTCATAAATTGTTAACTCAGCACTTCACCTGAGGGCTCACACAAAACTTCATATGCAATTTACTGGACGTTGCTTCGTTGGGTTGTGCAACTAATTGCAATTTCTGTCCAGCACCCAGTCCCAGCTCTATCTCTCTACATCTCCGTCTATCTTTGTCCAACTTTGACAATTAACCAAGGGCATTTTTATTATGGCCAGAAATATATATCCGTACATACTAGAGACGTATCTTTCGGTCGACCAGCAATCAAATATAAAGCAGGCCAAATGGCTTTCCCAATGAAACATGAAAATTTCATTAAGCTTTTCGTTCTTTTTTGTCCTGTTTAAAGACCCTTCCGGGTGGGAGGAAAATTGCAAAGGGATCCACGCTCTCGTCACACATGGAAAATCGCACTAATGGGCAAACAGACAATGAAATTGAATTAGACAACCAAGTGCGGCCAGTCTAGTTGGCCATGGTTGGAGGTGGCCCAACAAGCTCCTTTGACTTCTAGGGCCAGCTAAAAACCAAGCCCATGACCAGACACTAAAAATCCATTCATATAAATGGGGGAGTTTCGTTTTTACACCGGGAAAACTAGTATGCCAGATTTCTTTACAATCTTAATTTAAGCTTTATAATTAACTTAATCTTTTTTTTTTGCAGTGCACTTCTTTGCTATTCACATAGAGCAAATATCGGAAAAGGCTTCGACTTTGCGTCTTTGAATTCATTGCTTCATTAGAAGTCGTCGGCTGGCAGGCAGGAGCGAGATTAGCATGCCAAGTTCCAGGCAGCGACCGGTTTGGGATTTGCTTTCAGATGAGGAAGGGGACTCATGGCCCGAGGCAAGCCCCAAAACGGTGCGAAAGGCGGTGAAGACGAAGATGAGAGCGGGGGCAATGGCAGATGCGACCGCGGTCCACAGGCTGTTTTGTTGTTGTTTCCCACGCCTTGGCAAAAATATGCAGCACAAACACACACATAAAGACTCACCAAAAGCGAGCACAACCCACAGGTTTAGTTTTATTTTGCCCGCTTTTTCCCTGCCGCTTTGTATTTATATATATATATATTCTTTTTTTTATTATTTTTTTTTTTGTTTGTTGGTGGACTTCTTTGCTCCTCGGGGCACTGAGAACATTGCTGTTTGTTTGTATTTTGTTTGTTGCCTGCGCGTTCCTGTGCGGATATTACAATTTTAGTATCTGCCGCATTTTTTATTTGCATTTTATATGCATGTATTTGGCCACTATCCCTGACTGCGGTATCCGTTGCCCGTTGCCGCCTTATGAATGCCACAGCAACTTTGTTAGTGCTCTTCATTCTGTCTCTACTTCGTTTTTTTTTTTAGCTTCTTTTTTAGTTTCTTGCTCTTTGCTGTTCGGCGGGCTTAGCTTTTTAGCCGCGTTTAGCGTTCGTTTTGAACTGTGGCAACTTTTTTCCCGGCCCTAAGAAGTCGCCTTCTTGGTCGTCTGTCCGTCTGGCGGGAGCAGCTCTCTTGGCTTGCCTTGGCGACCAGCAACTGGCAACCGGCAATCGGGAGGAAGTGGAAGGAAACACAAGATGGGCACAGTGGTTGCTACATACTTAAAGTTGTAAGTAATATGTCCTTAAGGAAATTTCTTTTTATATTTATATTAGGTGGAATTTAAAACCCTTCAAGATAGCTTAGCTTCTTAATCATGACCTATCTGTGATACACAAATTGGCCATTATAATCTTGGCAAATTAGGTTTTGGCCTAGCGGAGGTCCTGCATAGCTTTGCCTGACACTTGCTTACCTTCTTTAGCACTCCATGCTCCACTGCACCATCTGGTAACCCAACCCAACCCAGTCCCGAACCCAACCCACTGTGCGTGGCAGGCAGCTTAAGTGCATGTATTGTAACTAGCTATCTACAGGCGTGCCAACTTGGCACGCCCCTTCGGCGGAGTACCCAGCCATCCAACAGCCAACATCCAGCAATTCAGCCATCCGGCCATCCAACCATCCAGCTATCCAACTCGCCACTCCAACAGCTGTGAGACCTGCGGCAATCTGCTCTTGGCAGGCAGACTCATCTCATCCTAACCCCATAGCCATGGCCATACCGACCGATCTGAACCAGAGGGGCCTCCACTGTAGCCCCTACACAATGTCAAAGTAATTGGATGACTTTTCATTGTTGGAGCCAGGGCGAGTGAGTGGAGAGAGTGAGGATGTTGGAGTTCTCTTCAAAGTGTAGGTCGGTCGACCTTTTTCGGCTTAGCTCAGCGCTCTGACATATTGAAATGCTTCAGAGCATATGCATCAATTGGTTGTAGTGCCCATGGGAGTTATTTGATCTCCGAGTTGCAAACACATCCCCAAAACTGGAAACCCTGCCTGCTAGTTTGCCGAGCGGTTTCCGTTTTTGGTGGCGCGTTAATTACAAGCGCGAGCTTTCAGCGTTTAATTTGCCAAGCAACTAATTATGGTAATTAAATATGCACACAAATGGCCATACTCGATCGCAAGTGGCAGACAAAGTGGCATGGCATCGCCTTTGTTTGTTTTTCAAGAATCTATTAATTAATGAAACGAATGGAAATCTAAAGTCTTGAGACAACGGCTCCATTAGTAATTCGACATTTGTTTTGTCAAACAAGCAAATAATTATAGATCTTCGAAGTCAACTAGTTAGAATGACACAACTGGTTTTAGTCGGGGGAGTTTATAGTTTTTTTTTTTTAAGCATGATTGCAGGTGGTTCGCTGGCTCTGAACTTCAGTTTCCTGTCGATTTCATTGAGAAATCGAAGCTGGAGTCTGAAGGTCGCCTTTAAAAATCGAAACATAAAAAATGAAAGAAAAAGAGCGGCTAAGAAGTGAACGAGTTTGGGTCCGAAAATAAAGCTGAATGGATTTAAGACTCAGCTTAATCAAATTCCAAAAGCCACATCTTTTAAGTTCTACAAACAAATTCCTCTACTTAAACACTTTTGCTACTATTGATTCCCTTTGTGGCATTAAAGGAATCCCCAATCATTCCTCAATAGGTCATGAAAAATGCAGAGCTTAACTGGGGGGTTAGCCACGCCTGCCAGACCAACAGTGTCGCCTCAATCATACTAAAACCTAATGACAACAACACAGGAAACTTTTCGACCTGCCACTGCAACAACTTGAGGCCGAGGCAATGGCAAACAACCTAGCACAGCCTGCAATTCTGTGACAAGGCAAACAAAAGCCGGCTAACAAGCGACGGCAACGGCGACGGCCAAAAAACCACTTTAGCCGTAAAGACAAGAAGGCAGCCGGGCAAAGCACAAGATATGGCCAATAAAGACTTAAGCCGAGGGACCAAGTTGAAAATGCGGGTGCTACAGGGTGGAAAGTTGCAAGTTCCTAGCTGCTAGTTGCAACTTATGAAAGTGCACGCATTGCTGCTGCAGCTGCCGTTGGCTGCCACAAAAAATAAAGAAATAATTTTTGCAGTTTCTATTTTCTTGTTTTGTTGCTGTTTGTGTTTTGTTTTTTGTGTTTTGTTTAAAGGGGCAAAAGTTGTGCTGGCAGAGCAGTAAGTCAGCATTTGCAACTTTTATGCTGGTGCACGCCCCTGCCACACGGGGGGAGACGTTTTTTAGAAGGTTTAAGGGGCCCAGGTGACAGGAAGGGCAGAGGAGATGTTTTGCTGGCAAACGCATTAAGCGCGTGAGCAACACACCAAAGCGACAATGACAAAAGGCAGTGACAGAAAAATCAGAAGCAAATATAATTTAAGTAATTTAATTTTAACTTTATTTTTAAGATAATAACCTGGTAAGTACTGATTTTAGAACATCCTTAAAATCCTTTTCTGATAATTAAAATTTTCTCAATCTTTTTTCTCAGTGAAAAAGCATCTACGAAAGTAGCAACGATAATGATGGTTGTGATGACGGCAGCATCTACGTGGTAAGTGCAATGGAAACGCATTGCGTTGGTGGGAGAAATGTGGAATTGGGGGAATCGGGTAGATCTGCGGATTGGGGTTATTTGGGAGACCTGGTGGGCCCATATAATTCGTAAGCTGCGAAACGTGTTTAAACACGCAAATACTTGCTTAAAAATAATACGCCGAACAAAGCAAGCAGGCACAAAAGGCAGAAGTTAGAGCGGTAAACGGAAGGGGCGTGGGCGTGGATGAGCACTGCAACCGGAAGAAGGCTGCTGGGTACAACAACCAGAGGAAGGTATATACATATTTTGAACAGGAAGGAAGTCCCGGCTTGTATTGCATATGCCACAAGCTGTTGTAGCTGGCAAGTTTATGGAACAAAATAGAAATATGCATTTATTTCGCATACCATAATATTTTATGCGTTACAGAGAGAGAGAGAGAGCAAGCAATAACACCAGCGATTGCCAAGAAATGCATAAAGTTTTATAGTTGCGCATTTTTCGGGAGGGGCTGGCGGTTTTTTTTCCACCAAGACCAGAGAGCATCACGCATACGCCGGGTGTGCTAGAAGAAAGTAAATCAATTTTTATGGCCACTCTGGTGCAGCTAAAAGGGAAACGCGTGCCATAGCAACCACTCGCCGATAAGCACCAAAGTACGCCGTTTGGGCCAGAACTTTTTGGCCAACAAGAAAAAAACACAACCCGTTATCAGCAGCAGACAAGGCACAAAACTTAACCATTAACCATCAGTTACCGCTATATCAGTTTGGCAGCTCTTTATAGTATATTTTAAATCAATTAACCAACTTTTATATAAATCAAACCCAGCCATTAACTGCAACCCTGCCACCCCATTCAGACATCAATCGATCGTTTAGCTTCTACTTTTTAGCCTGGCCTGGCAAATAAATTGCTTTTGAAATTGATTTAAAAATAATTATAATTTGTTATATTGCTCGATTGTTTGGCTAAATGACTCTGCCGATTGCATTTTAATTTTTTCCCTCTTTTGTTTATCTAATAAAACCTGGCACTGTCCAGTGTTTGCATTGCCTCTGTGTGTGTGTGTGTGTGTTGGCTTCTCCAATGCAAATTGAATGCTAATTGTTTGAGGAATACTCTGCTGTGTTTGAGAGTACATGGAAAGTGAATTTAACTGGAAATTAAATAAAGAAATTACTCCTCTTCTCTGTTCTTTTGTTAGCTCTGAACAACCAGCAGCTTTTCTGGAGAGACTTATTAAATATTTAACAAATTTAGTACTGTGATTTCATTGTTTAATATTCTTAAGTAATCATTTGATTGCCCAAAAAGCTGCCCCTAAAATTACTTTATGAACACCGAACAGTCATATAGCCCCAAGGAAGAACCTCAAATTTAATGATCCCTCCATTCGAATGAATCAATGCGATTGCATAAATTAAGCTGATGACAACACACAAAATGCAAACAAATTCGCCAAAATGTATTTATATAAATTGCGGATCCCCACAAACATTCAGTATATATATATCCCCTATATACAAATATATATATACGAGGTGTGTTCAAAAAGTAAGGTGACTTTTCAAATTTCGCGGGCAACATATTTTCGATTATCGTTTTTTTTGTTTTGTTATATTGGTACACTCTTCCCTAACATCTGTACCAAGTTTCAATGGAACATCCTCTTTTGTTTGGTTGTGAGAGGCGTAAAGTTACAAGTTGTTTTGCGAGCTCGGCGATTTTTTGCTATCGAAAAATATGGATCAAAGGATTTGCATCAAATTTTGTGTAAAAAATAAAATTAAGTGCTCTGAAACACTTGAAATGTTGACAGTGGCATACGGTGAAACTGTTCTGAGTAAAAAAATGTGTACAAGTGGTACAAACTCTTCCAAGATGGCCGGGAAGATGCCAATGACCAGCCTCGCTCTGGACGCCCAAGCACGTCAACAACTGATGAAAACGTTCAAGCAGTGACGAAAATTGTTTTGGAAAATCGTCGAATCACTATCAGAGAAGTTGCTGAAGATGTCGGTATATCGCTTGGCTCGTGCCATGAAATTTTTTCAAACGTTTTGGGTATGAGTCGTGTGTCAGCGAAGTTTGTTCCGAAATTGCTGAATTTTGAGCAAAAGAACCGTCGCATGAGCATCGCTCAAGAGCTGTTGAATGACGTCAACGACGACCCAGATTTACTTAAAAGGGTCATAACTGGTGACGAATCATGGGTATATGGTTATGATATCGAAACCAAAGCCCAATCGTCCCAATGGAAGAGCCCAGACGAGCCAAGACCGAAAAAAGCAAAAAATCGCCGAGCTCGCAAAATAACTTGTAACTTTACGCCTCTCACAACCAAACAAAAGAGGATGTTCCATTGAAACTTGGTACAGATGTTAGGGAAGAGTGTACCAATATAACAAAACAAAAAAAACGATAATCGAAAATATGTTGCCCGCGAAATTTGAAAAGTCACCTTACTTTTTGAACACACCTCGTATAATGTGTGGGCTTGTGGAAACGAGGAGGGCGTGTTTAAAGTCTTTTTGAATGCGCGCCCATTTCCAAGAATTTTGCAGACTCAGACCCAGCGAGAACAACAATGAGGAGGCAGCACCAACAGCAGCAGCAGCAGCAACATCACAGCGGCAACAGCAACGGCAGCACCCCAAAAACTTGCCTTAAAGTGAAGCGAGATTTACAGCATGTACGACAACAATTTGCAGGCATTGTGTGAAAGGGGCAGTCTGAAAAGGGGTAAGTGCGGCAGGGGCGTGGCAGTGCCCAAAACGTGACCCAGACAAAGTTTGCAAAATTGTCTAAAAAGGGACAGCGGCGGCCACAGCAACAACAACAACATTATTTAATGCCTTTTTAATTAGATGCAGTCAGTGAGTCGCGTTCGCTGCATTTTAAAATAACTCTGCCCGATGGTTATGGTTATGGTTATGAATCCCTATATACCCAAAAGGTATATACGAACATATTTTTTTATATCTCAGTTTATTATACAGTCGCTTTGATCTGCATACAAATTCAAATTACAAATCAATTTCGCATTTCGCATTTCGCTTTCGCGTTTCAAGTTTAATTTGGTTAGCTCACTTCGTAATAATTCTACTCCCAGGCAGGATGAAATTTGCATATGATAAATTATTTATTGCCACGAATATATACTTTGGTCTAACGCTTTTTTTTTGAGGGGAAAAAGCCCAGCAAACTTTTCAGACTCTCTGGCCGTGGAGATTTGCATAGAAAGGCAAGCAAAATGCTTGCCCGCCTTTCGATTTCACTTTGCAGCAATCCCCCCAGCAATCCCCGCTAATCCTTTCTCCTGCTCTCGTTCTCTCAGTAATATCCATTTATAGTACTCACTTTGAAATTGTTTGGCATTCGTTTCGAGGACTCCGCGCAGACTGCTGGTGTGGTGGTGCAGCAGTTGCTCAAACATTCCGGCGGCTTTGTCACGCAGCTCCAGCTCGGTGGCATTGTTGCAGCAGCTTCCACCGCAAACGGCGCCTGGAAAATTAAAAATACGAGCGAGATGAGTACAGATTGGCCATTGAGATTTAAGCTATTCTTAGGTAGCAGTAGAATCAGGGAAAAAAAGGTGGGTATTAAGGGAATTTTAAAAAGGGAAAAGAGATATCAATGGAAAACCATTTTATGACAGAGAAGATTGGTATTTCTCTTCAAGAGGAAGCTTATTTAATATCAGAACATCATATATCAATATAAAAATATTAAATATTATTTTCCATATCTTATTGGCAAGTAATAAGCCCCCTTATCATCTATCATCTCAGCTCATCTTGCATCATTACAAAAGCGCCTGCTGCGCCCATATCATTTTCAAATTATCGCACAAATCAAATATTTACTCATGACTCTATGTCCGTGTGTGTGTGTGTGTGTGTGTGAGTGTGTGGGCGTGTGGGTTGTCTCGTTTAATTGTTTATGGCCTTAAAATGGCAGTGGGCGTGTTGGCCAGCCAGCTTTACAGCAACAAAGTGGCCATAGTTTCCGACTCGCGGCGTGGGCTTAGCAATTTAAAATATACTATAAATCCAGCGAATGCATAAGCCAGAAGTAGGAACCAAGTTGGCCAGCTAGTTTCATCATTGACGGTCGCGTTAATAACTTTTAAATTGCTCATAATTGCAATTGTTTTTGTTTTTCTTTTAAGCTTTTTTTTTCTTTTAAGCTGGCTAAACGACAAAATCGGAGCAGTCTGTCTGATGTTGGGCCATAAAACTCGCAGCGGGCAATGATTGTTTTTTCAGCTGCCACTGAAATACGAGCGAATTCCGCTAATGACAATGGATAAGAGAGGGGGAAAGTGGGCTAAAACGATTTTCAACTTACTAATCGTTGTGCCCCAGAAAATGTTGTCTAATGAAAGAAACTAAAAAAAAGGAGGAGGAAAAAAGGCAAACTGTGACGTGACAATAAATCGCAGGGGAATGCCCCCCCCCACACCCCTCACTTGACTGGGTGTCATAAATTAGTGGAGAAACAAATCGTGTGACAGGCTTTTTATGACAACTGCAATGACAACAACAGATACATCTTTTATGGTCGTCTGCCCCTTCGTCTTTATAGTTTATAATTTAAATTAATGGCCTTTACACCATGTTCGTAGCGCCTACATTGAACGTTCGAAATTACCCGATTCAGTGGCCATATGTTGGCTGTCGTAAAATTAGCAAACGAAAATGAATTCAACAAATGGAAAATGGAAAGAAAATGCAGATGCAGTCAGCGTCTATTTTGGGTTTAACTAATGGCAAACATCGATAGTTGCAGTTAATCGGCCGAAGGCCATGACACAAATTTTCGGCCTGGAAAATGAAATAGTAAATGACAAACCGACTTGGCTCAAAGCCATTATACCAATGATATCCATATAGCCAACCAAGTTGACCAGGCTGCCAGTCAATCATAGCCCGTCATAGACGAAAGCCAAACAGATTTTTAGTTATGTGCCATCGATTTGTGAGCTGTTTGGGGACTTCTTCTCAAGTGGCCCAAAAGGATTTGGCTTCCCTTTTCCTAGCAATTGCATTGTATAAGTTATCGATTAGGGGCTGTCCTCTAGGCTCCTTTGGCTATGATGTGTTTATGCGTTTTTGCAACTGCTCGGCCATAAATCGGTCTAAGGATCAGGGGAGCACTTCCCGCATGGCAGTTGGCCAGAAACTCAGGCGTCACTCAGTCAGCCAGCCAGTCACTACGTCTGGGGCGGAAAACACTAAGGGAAAAAATAAAGGAAAACCGGAGGAAAGCAGAAAAAAAAAACAGGGGAAGCCAGTGCAAGTTAAACCTGCCCCCTGACAATGTTGGAATTCTTCGCTTTCGAACGCTTTCCGCCTGCAACTCTTTTCTGTGGCTCAAGAGCTCAAAACTCGAGCAGCAGAAATTCAATTCAATTGCTGCAACGTGCATGCATACACATACCAGCTCAGTGGCAGGATCTCTACACACACACATATACATATACACAAACGTACATATATCATGCCGTGGCCCAGAAAAGTATGCTATGGCAAACTGTTTCTGGCAACGGACGGCCAAATTGCAAAGGAACGTATAGGGAGGCCCAAAACGGAGATGGGAGATGTGGAGAACTGGGAAGCTACGAGAATAGAGAGATGTATCTGCATTGGAAGAAATAGTTAACCCAGAAATGGTTATCTTATACGATGAAACACAAAACTTTTCAGATTTTAGGCCCGAAAGTTGACCGAATTTCCAAACTTAATTTCTTATTATTAAACTAAATTTAGCTAAACACATTTTCTTTCAGTGCTATTGTTAGTTATTTTTCGCCGTACTTCAAAGGCAAATGACAGGGGGAGGGGTGTAAAAAATGCAAATCTCATGCATGGCCAGAAAATGCTCTGCCAAAAATACCAAGGAACGGCCCTGACCGCAAAAAGGAGGTGGAGAATCGGCCAAAAAAGGGGGCCAGTGGCCCCATTACGACTCCCTACCCCTACCCCACCACTGTGCTACTGTCTCTCTCTCTCTCTCTATATATATTTTCAGGCCTTGTTTTCCAGCCTGTCACCGCAAATGCAACTGACGACGTGTGCGAATTTGTTTACTGTAATTGTCTTCACTGTAAAAAGGGGCTGTGCGGGTGGATGGGGTACCCACACACATGAACACACTGCCACACGCACATATATAAACCATATATCCATACAGGCATACATATATAGCATATCCATTGAGATAGGCTCTGGCTCTGTGGTTGCTTGTCTTTTGGCATTAGCCAAGTTGGCTGGGAGCCAAGAAAGCGCTTAGCCCGCAAAACACTTGGCTCTGGTAGTGGATTTTGCATACCTTGACATATTTCGAGTGTCCTTACTCCACCGCCCGCTTCACTAGCTCTCTGACTCCCTATGGCATATGCTACTTGTATGCGTTTTCAATTTGCACAATTTAGTGTAAACGTGTTGATAATAATGAAGCCAAGAGCCAGGAGAATTTCCTAACCGTCAAAATGTCTGAAACTTTAGCCCTGACTGCTGTAATTAAAACCGATCCCTGCCCTATATGTCTGCCGAAATATTTTGACAGGCAGGCATTGTAGGAAAAATAATTTAATTACGATGTGTATAGGGGAGAGGGCTAACAAGTTCAGGACATGCATGCGGATTTAATTGAATAAAAAATGTATAAAACATGGGAAAAATGTATAAAACTTTCTGTTAATTGAGCAGCTTTCAGCTTTCATTAAGGTTTTTCTTGAAAATAAGGTTTAAGGGATAGGTTTGCTTCTGATTTCCCATCCAAGATAGCAGCATTTTGGCCAAAACAATGCCAATAATTGTTGATAGAAGTGTCATATCTTGTCAAGTTCATCATAAAATTCCCCATCGATTGGCATTCAAATAAGGAAATGATTTCCTCGACCAGGAACCACTTTTAAGTACAAGAAACTACAACTTATTTTCCTGCAAAACCAACTTAAACTCTTTTAAAAATCAACATCAAATATTTAACTAATGAAATATATATAATCCCCCGAAAGTTTGTGATAAACTTTGAGTATAATTTACGGCCTTGATTGAAAATCAATTTAATTTCCCCTCACATACGGCTCAGGTCGCAACAAATAGTCCAAACGATTGCCAGAGGCCATAAATTCTCTAATAAATTTATGAACCTGCAACGACTGCAATGCCCAGCCAAATAAAAACATCCGCCGCGGTCGCCAGAGGCTTCCTATCACCGTGGCCAAAACAGGGGGGAGGGAGGTGTTAAATGGGGGGAGTTCTGGGCCTGGGCTTGGTACTCTGCATGTCACACACAATAATTTCATTTTATTTTCTATTTTCTTTTTTTTTTTATCAAAAATTGTTGACAACTACTTGTCAAACACGAACAATTTGTGCAGCACTCAGAGAGGGCGATAACAATTAAGTCAACAAATGTTGATGGTAGGTAGTGGGGGAGTGTGTGGCAGTGTGGCAGAGGGGGGTAGTTCAGGGGTCAGGGTACACCATATCAAAGTGCCTGGCCTGTTGTCCATTTTATGGTTCGTTGGTTTCTGTTTGCTGTTATGACACGTTTGTCCCAAACATAGATCATCATCAAGATCGCGAGGTCTTTTCCAGGTTTTCCCCTTTTTTTCTCCATTTTTTCTTACCCGGAAAACTACCTTAACTTCTGGTTCGTTGAACTTAGCACCTCTATATTTAGCTATCGCCTGAACTTGTTTTATTGGCCACCTTTGTTTATTTGCGATTTCTATATCTTATCGGACCTGCTTCATTCTGAGCCGCATCAATGTCAGCAAACATATCCCTGCCTGACACGAAACTGATATCGTTTGGGCCAGCTTTACAGGCAGGTAAATCCTATTTGGTTGAAAGTGCAGGTGGAACAGTGAAGTTTAAGTAAAGTTAATAGTGATATTAAGTTAAAATTAAGTCTAAAAGGAAATATTCTATAGGTAGGAAAGCAATAAAACTTAATATTAAAAATTGTGAAAAATATAAAATGATATTCCTATTTCCTTATTAAATCTTCTAATTTTTAACTTTTAAATAGGCAAAGTAAAGTATTTCAAATTCGTTTTAGCCACTTGCCACTGTGTGCGGTGGCATTTTCAATTATTTGTTATTTTGCATATGTTTGGCAGCGATTATTTGGCGTTGCAGCTGCCACGGGAGAAAATCCCAACAATTCTGCTGGTAAATTGTTAATGTGCCGCATAAGTTTTCAATTTGTGTGGCAAATTCCGCACGGATGCTAACTTGCAACATTGCTGTTGCTGTTGGTGTTGCTGCTGACATCGAAGCTGGCAGATTTTGGCGCCACGTCTGCGTGGCATGTAAAATTTATTGCGTCGGCTGCAGCGACAATCTCTTTGCCATTTATTTGCATTCGCATTTGAATCCACACATTCGTATATATATATATACTATATACATATATATGTATATATCGGGGTAACTGTAACTGTATCTGTATCTATATCTGAATGTGTATCTAAGCTTCCTTCGGCT